TTTTTTTTTCGTTTGAGTGGTTTGAGGCTCGTGACACACCGCGCTTCTCGATGGAGCCCCAACGGACGCCCTCCTGACCTCCCCCGCCTCCCGCAGCAGAGCTGCCTGATGTGAGCCTCATGGGGCCGTGGTGGTCGCGGTGATTTGCAGCCGACAGGTCATGAGGAGCACGTCCAGTTTAATCTCTGCCCCAAATAGCTCGCTGCAGCGGCAGTGCCTTCCATCACGACCGCGACGGGCATTGGCAGGACAGCGGAGCAGGGGGAGACGAGTTACGACCCTTTGGGTGGTGGATGGGCCGGATGAAGTCCCCCGCCCCGTTTGGTGTGTCTGTGTGCGTGTGTGTGTGAGCTGACCGGAGCCCCGCACGTGGGCGACGACAAGCCCCGCCCGCCCGTCCGTCTCCGAGGCTGTTTGCTCCGACGGCCAGCCGTGGTCGTGGCGGTGGTGGTGGGTGTCGACTGGAGGGGCGCAGAGCCAGCCGGGGGGGGCAGAGCGAGGCGAGAGGAGAAGTTTGTTTTGGTTTCCTCTGCTGGCTGACCCGATGACTCGGCGCTGTCTGCTGCCCTGTGCAAGCTTCCTGCTTCCGACATGTCGCCGGCCCCGCCCCGCCACGCCCCGCCATGCCTCAGGAGGCGACACGTCGGCAGTGTTTTGGCTGTCGGCTCGACCGCAGAACGCCCGCCAAAGCGTCAAGAGGAGGTCCTTGTCCGCACTCGACATATGTGGGGCGTGGCGCGCGCGGTGTCGGCGAGGCTCGTATCGAGGCTTTCGGTTTGGCGCGATGCGGACGCCACCGCCGCGGTGACCCTGGTGATCGATTTACCGGTCGGTAGCGGTCCCGGTGGTGCCCTAGGGCGCGGCGCGGGCCGCTGCCTCCATGACGGCGCCCTGGCGGGGGGCCGCGCTGCCGCGCAGCGACGGAGCAGCGCGCGCGGGGCGCCCAGCACGGCTCTTGTTTGGCGGAGCGCAGCGGGGGACTGAACAGAGTAAAAGCTCGATCGATTGGAATAAACGCGCGCGGTCCACAACCTCATTGAGTGATTTGTTTTGGTGATTGAACACATTCTTTGGTGTACTGTATTGGAAAGCCGCACATACAGTATTCGCGCGCCGCGTGGTGCGGCTCGTCCAGTCGACGGCGTCCGTTCGTTGGCGTCTGTCTGGGGGACGGGGACTCGGCTCTATCGCACACACCTTTGGACTTCCTCCAAGTGAAGTGCGAACGCCGGAAACACAGAAGTGTCCCAGAGAGCGAAGGGGAGCGGAGGGTGTGTGAAAAGGTCATATGGGATGGAGCGAGGCAGCATCCTGCGACCCCGTGCCAGTCCCACAGGTCGGTGCCAGGTGCGGGCGGGGGACGGAGGTGGGGAGCACCTGCCCGTACACGACGTGGCCCCGGCTGGTCCAGGATGGCGCACAGCTTGTCGTAGAACTGAGACTGCGAGATTTCTCAAGGATGGCCCGAGGAGTTGAGTTTATGAGATTTCGAAGGAAATCAATATAACTGGGGAGGGGAGGCGTGGCGGACAGTCAGCACAGTGCAACACATAGATGCGTTTTTTCCCCTTCTTCGAGGCCGTAAATAAAAATCGCAGCGTCTGCTATCACGAACAATTAATCGACGCAGCCACTTTCTTTGCACGGGGTCCGGGGCAGGGGGCAGGGTCCAGTCCGCTGCTTTTGTTTGTTTTCTTATTATTGTTATTATTATGCATTTCAGCCGAATCCTGCATCATCCTTCTTATTGTCCGGCGGCGCCATAACTCACCTGCGCGACGATTACTCTGCGACACCAGGGGGAGGAGGGGGAGCAGGATGAGGAAGGTGAGCGCACGCGGGCCGGCCTTGGCGGAAATTAGGAAATAATTACAGGTTATTGAGTGTTAGTTTGCTCAAGATTTTGTGGGTTTTTGAGGCGAAACCTCTCCCATTATCTAGCAGCCCTTTTCTCACCCCTTCGGTTGGACCGACCCATACATTCTTTGCCGCCCTTATACGGTGGCGTGAAGGTATGGGGTGAAAAGTCACAACACCGAGAGGCTCCCCGGCCTCTGGCCGCCTCTGGCTGCTATCGGGGGCGCCCATCTGCGGCCCCGGGGGCGGCCCTCAGGACCCGCACCTGTCCGGCAGCATTGATATGCACGCCACAAACAGGGCCACGCCTCCTTCGACAATATCGGGAGAAATCTGGGTTGATATGTGTCGCTTTTTCCTTTCATTTCTCTCCTCTCTGCGAGACGGGCAGTTTTATCGTAGGGCACCAAAAGTGCGACTTTTACTTTACGACTTTTTGGCGAGGAGAGACACATTGTAAATATCGGCTGCTCCTGTCCCTGCTATTGTTTCTTTTCCCGTTCGGGTGGCGCTTGATGTGCCACGCCCCCGTGGCACCCTATCGGGATCTGGATAGCGTTCTCACGATGTGCATCAGCAGCACCCGTCCGCACCTTCGTAGAGTGTTTGCTCTGCTGGCTATGACCTTTCTGAGAACCAAAACGCCTGTCCTGCTCCATGACAGATTTTGGCCTCCGACGCGACGCTGGATGAAGCCCTCCACACGTCTTAGCCTGAACACGGCACAGTTAAGCCTTCTGGACGCTTCTGGACGAACAAAGAGAGGGCGTACGTGAGCATATCTCCGTGGAGCTTCCCGCGGTTGTCTCCTGTTCAGGCCCCCAGCTCACGACACCGCGGGAGCCTTTATTCCTTTTAATCTCCGAAAAACGTACGTGAACTCCTTTCTGGGGCTGACCAAAAAATGGGCGAAGCTTTCGAGCCACGTCCCTCGGCCCCCATCCTTACCCCTCTCTCGCCTCTTTCCCCTTTCCTTACCTTCCCCTCCCCACGACCCGCAGCCGGGCCCGCACGCACTGGGCCTACGTGCAGAGGGGCCTATCTCGTTGGCGGGATCTGACTCCCCTCAAAACACGCGGAAGCGCGTTTGAAAAAATCTCGAAATCCGAAAAGTTTACCCTGGTTTACCCCTGACTCCTCGCTCATGTAAAGTTGATGATGCTATGGGGGCTAACTCCAGGGTGTTGGTTTCCAGCCATATCGGGGTCAACTTGTAAACACCGTTACCCGTATACCGCCTTTGTCGCCCCGCGCAAGGCCTTTCGCTGTCCGCTCCGCCCGCGCACCTCCTGACGGCGGCCTCGACGGCCCCCAGCACCAGGCCGGCGGCGGGGCGGTGACGGGGCTGAGGAGGGCGGCCATGCGCGATATGGTCGCCGCCGCGGACGTGCAGCGACTGCCGAGGAGCCTCCCCGCGATCCCTCATCGGCCTGGGCAGGACCGCTCCTCCCCAGGCGGTTATGCCCGCAGAAGGCCCAGCGCGATTATTGGGAAAGATAGCTGGGCTGTGCGGTGTAATGATGATTAGGCGACAGGATCCACCGGATCAGCTGAGCGGGCCGCCGGGGGCAAGGGTACCCGTGCGGAGCGGGCCGTTGCCGTTAGGAGGCTCGAGGGGTGCGAGATTGCATTGTGTCATTACGGGCGGGGGCGGGGGAGGGCGCGCCAGGTAAGGCCGGGGCGAGGGTGTCAAGACTGGGAGGGGCGCTCTTATACCGAGGTGTGCCCGCCCCGCGCGCCCCCGCCCTGCTGTTCATCCCAAACCTTTTCATTGCGACGCATCACACACACGTACCGCACCCTCTTGCACCCCGTTGCTGCCACTGCTGCTTAGCCTCGCCAGGACGCCCATCGTGTACCTGCCGTGATGCGGTGGCGGAGCTTGGCGGGGGCTTCCTGCCAATCAGCTATATACGAGATTGGAGCACTTGCGTCTCACGCCACCTTATTTGGTGTACCGTCTTCATCAGAAAAGGGTTTCCCCCCAAACCTGCTGCTGGTGGGTAAGCCTCTGACCTCCTCGTCAGCAGCATCCCGGGAAAGCAGATTATGCCCGCAAAATCGGACTGCACACAGTGAAAATTAATAACGAGAAACGGAGTCATAATAAGTCATATCAGCACGGTAAAAGAGAGTTTATTTGGTTGCAGTAGAACAGTATGTGACGGTGTGGGTCAAGTCCCAGTGTTATGACCCGGTTTCTGGCCGGACTCGTGTGCGACAAGGAGATGATCGTCGTCCTCTCTGGGTCGCCAAAGGAGTCTGGGGCGGTCCGACGTGTACCCTGTCATCTTCGTCCCCGGGCCGCCCGGGGCCAGGACCTCGTCGAAGGACCCTCGCGGGGACCCGGTCTGCCACTTACCCGACGCACGCAAAGCCGGGTCAGAAGTGGGTGCGGGGAAAAAATGGGAGGGGATGGAAGGGTTTGGGGAAAGTAAGGGCTCCTGCTCTTGGCCCTCGGGGCAATACCTTTCAATCTGGCCAAGAAACCGGCATCGTTGTCATCCCTACAGAGACGGTGATGATGTGTGTTCGGAATGAGATAGTGCTCACAGCATTCCATCCGGGCAGGTCACGTGGTTCAGCCCGGTTCAGCCCCCACCCCCGGCACCGTCCTTGTGGCGGGTGCTTATCGCCGTCCCAACGTCCCAACCCCTTCCTTGGCAAACAATTGCGCGCCCGGCTTTGCACCTGAAGTAGGGTCGCTGCGGGGTCCTGGCC